TAGAATCCTTGTAGGCTTGGCGCACTGCTTAATATTGACCCAACCAGCCCAGTGTCCTCACTGTCCCTTCCGTCACCCCACATGAAATGCACACAGAGCCACAAAGGCAATTAAAAGCTCTTGGAGAGCTCTTAGAGGTCACCCATGGTTACAGGCTCACAGTTGCTGTGGCGATAAATAAAAACGTCTGGCCCATTTTGACTGAGTAGCCGACTATTCTGCAGAAGGGGTCTCCCCCAGTACCTTAGCACCCTTTTTAATGTGTGAAATTGTAGCCTGAATGAGGCCAGGGCTGCATCCTGGGATAGCAGCTTTTGATGCTTTTGTCCTGTTATCTTCAACAGTTATGATAAAGTACTTAACAGCTGCTCGTAATTATCAGCTTTGAAAAGCTATTGTTTTGCGTATAAACATCATTTGTAAGAACGTTTCCAAATTAGACTAAAGAAATGGGAGTTGTGAAACAGACCTATGAAAACGGGAATATTGTTGTGATATTATGAGGCTCTACACTCTATGAATGAAGCAGAACTGAAGTGTATTAACATGAGAGCTGGGAATACCAGGGGAACCCACTCTAGTTTGCACGTAACTCAATTTGAAGGCTACACCTGACAGCTTGTGATTCCCCAGCTTAATCCTTCATAATCCCTCCGGCTCTTCCTCTCTTGTTTTTATTTCAGTTGTTGTGATTGTGCCAACTAATTCCACCGAAATGCAATAGCAGAGAAAGTGTGAAACACTAGATGAGATACTCTCTAGTGTCCCATTCTCGCTCCACTTTACGCAATTAAACTCATTTTATTGGGCAGAAATGAATGTGCACGTCAATGCATTGTTTGTTTTTGGTCCATTTTCCTGCAGGAAGTGTGAAGGCTTCAGAGGCGTGCCAGCTCCCATTGCCAATACACAAAGCCCTCACTGTATAGTAATTAGTCAAAGTTATCAGTTGTGCTGTTCAAATTCCATGGCAAATGCGCCTGGAAAGTGTTTACACAACGTTTTTGATGGCCAGATTGCTGGGCGTTCCATGTTGGATGCTGGACACAGCGGGTCAGGCTGGGCGTGTGTGAGTGGAAATACTCCCCAGGGCTCTTTTAGAGTGAGCAAAGTACATTACTGTTCTACCAATAGTTCATCTCATCTCATCTCAACTTTTCTAATCATGGCTATGCTATACTGACCTGAGGGAACATGAACAATTTAGAGCGTTTTGGAGTGCCTCTTTGTTACATAACTTTATCGCACTTGTTTGGAGTGGACTTGTTATGGAGTATGGCTTTTGTAATTCTTTGGCTCTTTTGGGACAGTGTTATATCTCTTGTCCTGAAAACAAAAAATTGCATAACAATGATGTAATATCAAATCTCTTTAATTACTGTTTTTCCTTACTTGACATTAAATTGAATTACACTGACATGCATTAATAGTATTTTTTATTTGTTTGCTTGTATTACCTCCCTACTAATTTTCTTAGAAACACATCCTGCTTCACCATCATAAGGCCTAAGCAAGACAAGTGATAAAAGACCATATTAATAAGGAATTAATTAACCTCAATTGATGAGTCAATAAAATTAGTAGTACCAGTTTATAATAAGGCTCTATTTATGAGTAGTTTAAAATTAGTTTATTAATGGTTATTAATATGGTCACCTTAAAAATCATCAATAAGCAATTACAACAGATAAATAAAAAGGGCAACAGTGAACTGTTGCTTGCCAAATAGTGAGCCCACATTGATCTATGGTGTTAAAGCTCAGAACTTGCTAGTTGCTTATCTTACTTTGTTTTCTTCATCAGTCAGCATTGTACCTGAGAGCTTCATCTGATATTCAAATTCATCAACTATAACAACTCACTGTTGCCCTCCTTTTCATTTATGTGTTTATAACTGCTTATTACTGATTTGACCCTATTAATAACCATTAAAAGTTTAATTCTAAACAATTCATAAAGCCTTTATAAGGGTAGTCTTATTGTAAAGTGGTACCAAATCAACCAATACCTAACTAAGAAAATCAAGACAAATTTTTGCATTATATATTCATACTGTTATATAATATTCTGTTGGACTCAGGTGGCTATGGCAAACCTTTTCTGTCAATCATTTGTTTGTTGACACTGAACTGTGTTTTCAACCATTGTAATAATAAAGATCCACCTTTGGTCAAGAAGTATTACTTCCATACTAATGTTCTTGGAAACATATTTGATGTCTAGCTAAAGCATCATAAGGCCCAAGCAACACCATGTATCAAATGACCAATATGCCTATTTTTAAAAGAACTCAGGATGTCACTAAACACTTTATATCATTAACCCAATACATGACAAAGAGCAGGTGGGCTCTGTTTCTCACTTCTATAATCTACGAAGAATTCCACTGGTCGGCCGTTTTTTTGTTTGTTTGTTTTTTTTTCATGTCATTACAGAGTAATAAGCCTTAGTATGAATTTTTTTGGGGTTAAAGTCAAGAACATTTTTTCCTTCTCCTGTAAAATTGACATTGTGTGTATACAAGGTTTTTTTTACAACAACAGGCTGTTCTATGCTAAAATTCAGAATAAAATATTCAGTATTATTGCGATGTTTAGCTTCCCAGCTGAGGGAAAGGAGGATTCTTGTTTGTTTTCAGCACTAGAGTACAGTGCCTCTTCTTAATTAGGCAGCTCAGCAGGGTGCCCTGCTTCTTATCCTGCATTCTTCAGATAACATTGAGAGAACTGGTTAGGTGAAATGCCATTGTTCACAAGCCTAGCAAAACCATTTAGCTGTGAATTCTTCAGTTCCCTTCTCTTCTCAAATCACACTGACAGCCAGAGGTCACAGTGATTGAGGAGAATTATCAATGTGGAAAGCTGGGTAAAGACTGCTGTGGTCAATAAAATCATTAGACAGTTGGTGTCCCTTTCAGTGAAGCTGATGAGTATTGGGTATCGACAGATGTGATGCTGTAATGAACAAACTGTGGTCAGCTGTGTTCATTTATTTTCTCAACCCCCAGTCTTTAAAAAAATATGTACATGATGCATGTATTTAAGTCAATGGAAAGCAATGCATGTACATGACTCAAGACTATTTGATTACTCCATTTGTGAATGCATGTATAATTATGAGGGATATAACAACACAGTGAATCGAGTTGTATGGAATTGTATAGCAGTGTATTGTTTTGGATCATTGTATTGTGATTAGCGTGTTATCTTGTGGTTTGTGTGTTAGCTTGTGGCTGGTGCATTAGATCAGGACATATAAAGCGCAATGTTTGGATCAAAAAATGCAATTTTATAATGTTGAAAGCTCTAATAAACAGAAAACAGAAACATTAAGATATTAAAGGGGAGTTCCACTTAATTATTGAGGTGTCAACAAAGCCATTCTGAGAAGTTTGATATGAAATTGTTTATTGTAGAGAAGCTTACTGATTCTTTCTTTAGATTTCCTTACAGTGGTGGTGAAAGGAATCAGGGGTTGCGACAAAAATATGCAACACAAATATATTTTAGTACTACCCAAAACCTCTAGTGAACCTACAGTGTCTTCTGAGTTTTACATGTAATGTTGATGACGGGAAAATAGTAATAAATCTGAAAAAAATAAGTTTTCTTTTGTGACTATACCCTGCATGTACCTCCCCACCATAAAGACATAAAAATCATTTTAGGCCAAATGTTCAGCACAAAGCTATCAGAAAAGTCTCAGACATCAGGCATTAAAATTTTATGTCATAACTTTCTGTGATGTAGCTTTTAGGGGCATTAAATGCTTCAGACATCTGGTTCCTATCAACACCACTGTGAACAGTTCTGACTCAGTAAGTTTCTCTAGAATGGAACACTTCACATCAAACCATTCTGAATATAAATGTTTTCATCTTAAATTAATTATGTGATTTTTAAAAAAAAAATGGAATTCCCTTTTAACATGAGGTATATTTTCAGCCACTTCTTATTTTTGATGTACCGGAAAATGTACCAAAGCAAGACATCACTGTGTCATATTGTAACTGAATAAAACGATCCATCTGGCAAGTTGCATTTCATCCTCTTACTGATCCAAAGGCCCCTTGACATTACCCCAGTAACCTTACCAAAATCCTGCTCCAATAAATCAGTCTTGCTTTATTTCCTTGCTGCAGTTTGGCTTAGCCCAAAACCACATCACTAATTAATCCAATCAGGCCTGAAGCAGCTGCCTCACTGGGAAGTTGAGAGTAAAGTAAATGGATTTGGTGTCTGACAGTGCTCCGGTGGGGGTTGGGGCTCACACCATTTGCTGTAACACATACGTTTACCAGAACACAGGAACATCCCGCTCATAAAAACGTAATTATGTCCTAATATTTCAAGTATCTGTGTTTATTTAGATCTACACCCCAATGTGTGAATGAATATAACATTTTTAAGTTAATAAAACTCAGACATTTTGTGCAGCTTTTATACCTATGTTTCCTGATTTCCAGTGGTGATAACTGAGTTAAACTGCATTAGTGTATTGGATATGCTTTATTGGCTTCTAAATTCTGTGCAAGTTAAATATTTTGCTGTGTTTAGTTTAACAGGGTCTCCAGTTGGACATCATTTCTGCGCCAAATGAAGCATTCTTTCAGACCACACTCACAGGCCAGCAGTGACATCATCACAAGCGCTGCATCTATAAATAGGTCTATGACGACTGCTATTTTGGTGTAATGTTTCATCACCCAAGGACACAGCTGTATGTACGTTCTAATCTAGTAGATATGTTAAACAGGGTAAAATTCCTAGCTGAAAGGCAGTGCACAGCAAATGAAACTCTGATACATATGATACCTCTGAATATCAAAGGCCTATTGATTCTCCAACAAAGCAATATGCAAGGAGAAGGATCAGGTCTCACTGGATTGCCTTATAGCTAGGTGCTCCATATTTCTAATCCCACAGACTGAAACTGGTCTCCTAAATGGCCCTTCCTGGAAGTCCAAATAGACGTTTTTCCATGAACTAAATTAAGAGATGTTTTTATGCTTAATTTGTGTCAAAGTCATCTATAATTTATTCATTCCTTAGCATTACAAAAAAACAATTATATTTACAGTGTGTAAAAACAATCAGGTTTCCCAACTAAAACTTGCTTTAAGTGTGAACAGGTTTCATTTCCAATGTTAATTCCACAACTAGCTTAACATAAACATTTATATAGTCTCTTATTCTATCAGCACTGGCAATCGGTCTAATAAAACTGAAATAAAAGGCGTTTTTGTGAGGTGTTGCTGAAAGAAAATCAAAGTGTTGCCAAGCTATGGTCCTCAACCTAGGCTCTTCCCTTCTTGGAGGACACACATATGAACAAAAGGCATAGGCTTTATAGGCTTAAATTCTGTTGATACTACAGCCTATCAGATCTATCGCAGATTCCTCAGATACAAAGGGCAGCTGCCCAGCAAATACTAAGTATAGAAGAAAGCAGTTCAATACTGTGTGACACATAAAGGTCAAATCCATTTTCTCCTGACCCCATGGCCATCTGGAACGATTCCTTTGTTAGAGATTTGCCACAAAATCCTGCAATAATATCAAGACCGTTTTGTGGAGGTTCACAAGTGAGATATCAGTGTCCTGAAAGTGTCCCTACGCAGCTCATCTCTTTTTCTTGCTGTGTCTCACCAATTTTTTCCTTTTGAGGATCATCTCATACAGTTTCTCTAGTCCTGGCTGAAGACCTTGGCCATCCACAGCACTGCAGCCCTGCACATGGTGAAGGGTGTTGGCACTCAGTTCATGCACAGCCAAAACCTTCTCCACCTCACTGACAGCCAGCGCAACCGGAAGATCCTGTTTGTTAGCCAACACGAGAACCGGCACGCCCTGGTTCTCTGACGTGCGTGTGATCTTGTGCAGCTCCACCTTGGCCTCCTCCATGCGCTCAGCTTCAGTGGAGTCCACTACGAAGACCATGCCATCCGTGCGCCGTGTATACGACTTCCACAGCGGCCGCAGCTTATCCTGACCACCCACGTCCCACACCTGGAAAGTAATGGCTCGGCCATTGCCCACCGGCACTTTGATCTTCTCTGTGTTAAAGCCCTTGGTAGGAATGGTCTTCACAAACTCCTTCAGCTTGAGTCTGTAAAGAAGGGAGGTTTTGCCAGCAGAGTCCAACCCGATGACCACCACATGGAGAGACTGGAAGTTAGGCAGGAATGGTGTGTTGGGAGCAATCTCTGTCAGTTGGTTTCCCATGGCAATCTGATTTTCTCACTGTCCTGTGAGAGGTAGCAGACTTGTCTGTGCTGTGTTTTAAGCGCTTGGCATTTGCACCTACTTCAAAGGTACTGCAGGCAGACGGCAGGGCAATGAGACCAGAGGCACCAGTGCTGGACCTAATCAAAGCAAACACAACAGCTTGTTACTATCAAAGATGCCTGAGAGATATTCTCAACAGCCCTCATCTAAAGGGGTTCCCCTTTAATCAGCTTCCTCTGGGATAAAAAAAAGTCTATTTGTATATAAAAAAGGACACTTTTTTATTTTTATACAACCAGGACAGTAAAAGAACCCTCTAGCACATCTGTGGTTAATAATACGATATCCTGGCTGCCATAGTAGCCATAGCCATAGTATGTAGTTCTGTGGTATAATCATTAAAATAACCTTATGTAGCTTGGATCGCAGCTTGACTATATGAGTACACTAAACTATATTTATTTATGTTGAAAATATAATAAATGAATACAGGTTATTGTAAGACAGGTAGTGTAAATCTCAGACTGTAACTGGGTGGTGGGGGTTCTCATGCCTAATCCTCTTAAGACCTCTAAGTAGAAATAGATTTCTTACGGCAATCTACGTGCCACGTTACTGCTGTCTATGGAACATATTCAACGAGAAGGCCTGGTTTATCCATCCAGACTTTTATTTTGAATACGAACGACAAAGATTTGTTCTTTCCGAGAAGGAGCCGGGTAATTTACACGATTTCCCAAAAGAATAAAATCGATTAAACTCTAAATTAACATCAATAAAAGCAGGTTATCCTTTTAAAATGCTAACTAATCTCGTCGTCAGAGGGGAACACTGAAATCTGTTAATAGTCCAGAAGTGTATTGTGTTAGTCTTCATCAGTATATAGGACAATCTGATGAAGACTAGTTGAAGTTTTAAATCTTTCTCCGTGCAATGAAAATGGCACGAAGTAACTGATACAAATAAAATGATCTCTGTGTCAGCGGAGTCTTTATCACGACGCTGAAAACTACTAGCTTTGTTAGGCACATTCTACTAAATCTGAACACAAGACAGCCGCGCTGCTCTATTACAGTTTTGTAAACCAAAGCTGAACAAAACCGCTCACCTAATGGACTTGAAGGACAAACGATAACGTCCAGTCTGCGTTTCCAAACGATCACCATTTTCCGCGTCCGCTAAGTCCGTGTCGCCGCTCTCCCAGATAGGAGGCAATAGGCAGGAGGCACGCGCGCTACATCTAGAACAACAACCTGCATGTGACGTCACCAGCACGCTCCACTTCTCCCGGCGCCACGGCGTTACTTTATTTTCCGCCCGTATTCTGGGAAAAGCCCGCCTCGTGAGTTCTGATTGGCTAATAATCTCCCCTCCTGCGTCAGGACTGGCCGAAAGGGTTGATTGGCTGTCAGATCACAATAGCCGACTCCAGCACAGGAGACGGGATTCGTCCGAGTACAGGTGGAGAAAAAAGATTGACGCCGCAGCTGCTCCCTCTGGTGGTTATTTCTGTTGTTACTCTCAGCAAAAAACGGACTTGTACTGATAACGAAACGAGAAGATAAATCTAAACCGCTGCAAAATTCATTTGATGTCCGAATAGCATGACGAGATACAATAAAACACCATCACTCATTAGAGAAGCCTAGTTTGTCATCTTTTAGAAACGGGTAAAAGTTGGTCCATATTTATCAGTCATAACAGAGTCTGATGTACCATAGAGCAAGAGGAGAGTGGGCCACTGTTGGCCCGCTGACGGCCCACCGGCTTTTTGCTAGGCATTTTCCGTGTGGCCCACTGGTGGTTAAGCAGAGGGATTACACAAAATGCTACTTTTCATCGCTCATTTTCCACTCACAGTCCGATTTACTTATTTTGCCTTAATTTCTTTGGTTCGTTATTTTATTGTTAATTAGTCAATAATTTTAACATCAATATCGTAAATACAGCTGTCACAGTATCAGCAACTACATGTTATACTCGCCTAGCCATTCATTTTTTCTCTTCTCTCAATTGTTTGTAATTTGTCATTTTTTATTTTCCAAAGTTAAATGATGTGTGTATTTAAAATTGTTTGAGGAGATTAAAAACTAGTTAGACTTTGTATGAAGGACACTCTGGGTGGTCGGAGGGTAGACCAGCACTGTTAGCGGGGTGCCGATGTAGTGTGGCGTCACGCATCTGGCTCGCGCTGCCGTGGGACCGCGGGAGGCGTGGCCATGCAAAGCGGCTACACGCGGAGTCTCGATGGGCGTCGCGCTCACTGTAGGAGAGACATTTCTTGTATGAGTTTTGTTGTTGGCTTAATGAGGTGCTAGAAGTGACCTGCCTGCTTCCCATAGTGTCAATGATTGCTTTTACATGCACTCGATAATCTGATCATAATTGGATTTCTGCAGCTATTTAATTATTTAGATAGTCATGTAAACAGCATACTCACATTTCTTAGATCAGAGGTCTAGAAATCCGATTAAGAGAGTTGGATTTTAGCTCAGCAATAAGATATCTCAGTGCATGTAAATTCACTAAGATTTCTTTCGGATTTCTCAGACTGCGCATGTGCAAAAAGACCGCGGTACCGGAAAGCAAGCGGTGTGTTGCCTCAAGATTGCAGCAAAACACTTTTGGGGCGACTGAAACCAGCATGTTTGACGAAATGAAGAATTTAAATATTCTTTATTTTCTAGATGACATTCATTTTTCCAGGTGGCCCCACCTGGCATTTCAACGTTTATTCACGGTTGAATTGTCATGGATGAAGGTTGAATCACCGCTGGATTTTGTTTTGTGAATCAACGTTGATATTGCGACGTTGTTTCGACGTCTTACCTTTCAACACTGAAACTCCCAGAGAGTAAATATCATTCGGGCCACATCTAGGCCCAATACTGCACGCCGAGCTTGAAAGGCATCGGCCGAGACATCAGTTTGTATCCAGGCCCAATTCTGGGCCAATTGCTTGGTTCATCCGGGTACAACGTGATATTAACACTTCCCTGCCCAGCCAGCAAAATATGCTCACTTCATTCACTTCCAGATACTTTCTGCATAAGTCTAAATCTCTATTTATTAACGACATGTGCCTGAATCAAAAGCATGATGTAGCCTAACATTCACTTTTATTTAGAAACAGCATAACAGAGAATGCAAACATGAAAACAAAGTATTAAAAACAACAGAACTGCAATCATTCTCAGTACTTTTATTTAAGATAATTTGATGAAATGTAATCACTTTTCCAAAAATTAAACAAATAAATAAATCACTAATATCTTTTCAGTGCATTATGATTTCAGGTTTAACTTTTACTTTTGTACATTAATTCAAATAAAAAAGTATAAATAGAATACTTCTACTTTAAGAGTTTACACTTTTACTCATGTTCAGAAGTTTTGTATTTGATTCTCTCCTGGCGAGAAGTAGCTTAAAATGTGGTGAGTTATTAGGGAGTGTAGAAGTAAAAGAGGAACAAAACAATGAAAAAAAAAACTGTGATTGTATTAAAATATTACAGAACTGTTCTTTCCCAATCGTTATTACAGTCAGAGTCAGTCAATAGTCATCGTGGGAGAGGGAAAGATAAACATACACGTGTTGACATGGTTAAAGTATAAAATATTCAAACACAGACATACTTACCCTGGGCCGATTACACTGGCAGAAAAATTAGTGAAAACAAACAAGTAACCCAGTTGAAAAATAAATAAAAGTTGTTTCCATACCTAAAAGGTGACTGCAGGAAGAGAAGTAGTGACAGTGACAGAGTGAAACATTATTCTGGCTGAACCAGGATAGGCAGGATACACCCTGGACAGGTCACCATACATATACAATCACACACACATTCACACCTAGGGGCAATTCAGTATGTCCAATTGGCCTGACTGCATGGCTTTGGACTGTGGGAGGAAACCGGAGAAACCCACACAGACATGGGGAGAACATGCAAATGCCACACAGAAAGGACCCCGGTTGCCCGGCCGGGAATCGAACCCAAGCCCTTCTTGCTGTGAGGCGACAGCGCTACCCACTGCGCCACCGTGCCACCCCCGTTTACTATATATAAATTAATATTCTCATAAAGTGGACAGTTTATACAACTATACGGCAGAAAGTAACCAAGTTAGAGCTCAGTTAGGATAACTAATAAAGGAGAATTTCAAAATTCCTGAATAATTTACTCCATGAGATGTAGAAATGTGGCTGCAGAGTCATTCAGAGTGGTTTGATATGAAATGATTCACTGTTGGGAAATGTACCGACTAAGGTTTCTTTATAGTGGTGGTGATAGGAACCAGGGGTCGCCATGTCCGCCACACAAAAATAGCCATTTTATTTACTACTAAAAACCACCTGTGAACATATACATGCGTTTTGTGTAATGGTGATGATGGTGCATGTATTTGTCTGCCACAAAGGAATTAAAATCAATTGATTAAAATACATTAAGTCAAAACTTTATCACAAAACTACCATAAGGAATGTTTCAGTCATCATGCAGCATATATCTAACCATTTTATATAATAACTTTGAGAGAAGGCTTTCAGAGGCATTCAATTCTTCAGATGTCTCCACTATCACCTCCACTTTGAACATTTCTGAATCATAGCTAGGTTTCTCTAGAACAGGGCATTTCACACCAAACCGCTTTAAATGACTGTAAACATCACAACCATTTAATTTTTAATTTTAAATTTTAATTTTTTTATTAATCAGTGGAGTTCCCCCTTAAGTTTTAACTAACTCAAGCGCCAGACTCGACGTCTCTCCTAAATATTTCTGCTTAATCTTCTAAACCCGTGAGGGTGAAGCACCAAACCTGGTCTGTGATGTGAAGCCATAAGCTTGCTAACCAGCAAGCTAACAATCTGGTTACTTTCTGATTTTTGGACACTCCAGCACCATTCACTCGATTTCACTCGCTCAAATTTTATGTTCTTATTTTGAAACTTAAAACATTTTTCTACTCAGTCAGTAATCTTTTCTTTATGCTATAGAATATTTGAATATCCGAGATAATATTAGACTGAAAATCTGAAAATTCGTTTTTTTTTTTACTTAAAATATTCAGTAGTTGCAGCCCTACATCTGAATATTCCTGTAATCTCTCAAACCCAAAACACAATAGAACATATACTCATATGCAAAATTTTTGGGTGCCCCTGGCCAAGTGAGGTTTTCTTGCTTTCTTTTCGAACAAAACTTCTGCACATAAAAAGTTGATTGAAAGAAAATAAATAAAAAGGAAAAAGTATCCAGATTACATGTTACTGTTTTTTTTGGGGGGGGGGATTCTGTTTCTTCTGTTTATAGTTATATATTGTTTTATAGTGTAGTATCATTGGCTTATTATCACTTTGACAAACATAAAGAGACAAATGGAAGTGTTTATTAATGTTTTTTATTGATGTTTTAAGTGAAAAACATACATTCTGGTTCTTCACTCTCTCTCTTCACAACACCAAAGTGTTTTCCAGAAGCTCATCTTCTTTTCGCTTTTCACTCTCATGTCCTTTGAGGACTCCTTTCTCCTTTTCTCCTCAGCCTTCTTTTGCATTTTAAGCTCTTTGGCCTTCTTCTTTTGGATCTTCTTCCATTCTCATCTTTCTTCCTTGCTCATGTTCTCACTCGGGATTCGGCTCACACGGTTTTGCAGCTCCTGCATCACACTGTGTTTCTGAATGACCACCAGAGGAACCGCTGATAGGATCCTGTCCTCGCTTTCCTTAATCGCAGCTACTGGATCCCTCATCATCTCCCGCTCGCACTCCAGCTCCTCCATCTTCTGCTTCATAATGGCCTTGTACTTGATGTTCACCTCCAGATTTTGGAGTGGCGCTCATCCAATATCTGCCAGATCTTCTCCACCTTCTTCTTTTCTGCTTCCCACATCTTTCTCATCTCCTCAATCTCTTCATCTTCCATTAGGAGCCCATCCTGTAGCTGCTCATTCACCTCTAAGAGCTTCTGGATGCGCTTTTTCATCTGGGCTTCTAGATGTCCTTTCTCCAGTGCCTCAGCCGCTTTTCTCATCTTTTCTGTCCAATCTTTTTTGATGTTTTTTTGGGCTCGTCCCTCTCTGTCCTTCAACCTTTCAACTCTCTTTCTGGACACTTCTTCCATCTTTCTGGCTTGGTCCAACTGCCAGTCCTTTGTCTTGAGGTCAGCACTGAGTTTCTCCACGCGTAACACCAGGCAGGCCTCCTTGACCGTCCACTGTCCTCGTTCCACCTTTCTAATTCTTTCTGCCTGCTC